TCCGACACCTCCTTCTTCTTGGGTGGTTCTTCCTCGTTTTCCCGAGCCTTTCGCTCACGAGGTTTCGGGTGCTCCTTGACTTGATGTGCATCCAGCATTTCGATGTCTTCGTCTTCTTGCTTGACTCGTATCGACTTTTCGCCAGAATTAATTCGGGTAGAGTCCTTTCGCTTAGGATCACGCTCATCGTGACTGCTCTTTGGCTCTTCCTCACGATTTTTTCGAGGTAGGAGGGACGAAGGCTTAGATGTATTATCTCGTGATATACTAGCTTTGCGAGGCTTTACTTCTTCAGAGACGGGTCGCCTTGGCAATCGTTTCTCCTGGCTGTCGCTCTCAAGTCTTCGGCGTTTTACAGGCGCATCATCCTTGTCAACGTCGCTTGGTCGATCAGGCGTGATGCTATTTCGATGTCGTTTGGTGACCCCGTCTCCAGATACCGATAGACGATCCCTCGATTCATCGCGCTTCAAGGCTTTGGTCCGGTCGTGATACTTCTCAGATAGCTTAGGCTTGTCTGCACCATCTTCATGCCTTGCTTCACTAGGGCTCGACGGCTCTTTCGCTCCAGATGACGTTGTAGAAGCCATGCTACCACGCTTCTGCCTTTCTCGCTCATCCCGTAGCTCGCCTTTAGATATCAGCTTTCTTCTCGGTTTAACGGTTTCTCCTTCCGAAGATACGCCAGTAGCATCCGATTCGGTTCGTTTCGGCTTGACTACCCCTTTACGAGCGGGAGGAGCTGGGGATGCCTCACGATCTGAGACATTCGAGGCCGTATGATCTTCTTTCCTTGGTCGTCCAGGACCTCTCTTTTGAGAGCTGTCATCGCCACCGCGGCCAGTGAAAGAATCAGACCTCTTCTTATCCCTTGGCGCCTCTGTCTTGATAGTTGGAGCCTTCTTGGGCTCTCGGGAAGGGCTAGCAGCGCTTCGTTTATGTGTCCGTGAGTCGTCTTTAGCCTCGTCTCTCTTGTTTCGCTTCTCTTCCCTTTCTCTCTCCCTCTCTCTCCGCCCAGGCGATTTCGCCCTGGCAGAGTCTTTGTGCGTTCGCTTGTACTCGTCGTATGCGTTCTTCAACATGTGTTCTTCTTCTTTCCAATTCGAACCTTGTCGACGACGGGCAATCTCGTAATATGTCTCTCCTTTAAATCTTTTTGTGGGATCAAAATTCTGTTGTTCCAAGAGCAGCTCGACAACTTTGATATTTTCCTGGCCAATAGCCGCGAGCATTGGTGTTGCAAATTCTGGCTGTAAAGACCTGACAGGAGCGGGGTCCGCACTGGCACCACCGAGGCCCAACAAAAGTTGAATTACCAGGTCATGGCCTCCTCTTGCTGCGGCTACCATGGATTCGGGGTCATCAAACCCCTCCTTGACCTGCAGGATGCGAGCTACCGTCTCTTCGTCACCACGGCCAGCAGCCTGCCGCAAGGTTTTGTCGTCCAAGGGCATGTAGAGCAAATCATTCCTCGTCTTGGTGGAGCGAACAGTTCCTGTCCGGCGCCCTGTCGTCATTGGTGCGGCTGGAGAACGACGGGGGCTTTCAAGTGCATGAGAGTCTCGCTGGTCGTGATAATCGTGGGAGTGACGGTCTTCAGAAGTGCGTCGCCGTTCACCCTGCCGCTTTTTAGCTGCCACGAGCAGTGCGCGAATTTCGTCGCCATTTTCAGTGTCTTCCGTAACTCTATCAATAGGCTCTTCGCCATTTACGTTAGCTTTGCGGGGGTTAACGCCAGCTTCTAGGAGAAGTTTAACGACGCCAACGTGGCCGTTATCAACAGCGTCTAGTAAGGGGGTGTCTTTATCGTAGTTGACACAGTCCATATTGCAGCCGGCATCGATAAGAAGCTTGACGATATCCTCGCAACCGTTAATCGCGGCGATTTGTAGAGGCGTGTTCCCGGCATAGTCCGCCACGTTCAAGTCCTCAGGACGATCGGTAAGTCTCCTCTTGGCGCTCTCGTATTCCCCACGTGCACAAGCTCGAGCTAGTAAGGTTTGGCCGTGTGCATCTAGGTGTTTCTTGTGAGGTGCCATTTTCACGGGCGAGGCGTGAGATTCAGGCACGGCCGGAGTAGCAAGACCTCGTAGCTTGGAGCTGCGGGGATGAGGGCTCCCGCTAGCCGAGGATTCGTCAGAATGGTAATCTGCAGAATAAAGGGGTGGCGGTAAACGCTTCTTCTTAATGCTGCTAGAAAGATGATGGGCAGGTAACTGTGTGGAGACACTTCTACGGTGTTGTCGAGGGTGAGGGGAAATGGAGCGTGTCCGGGTCCGGGATTCATGCTGAGACTGCTTCGATTTGGATTCCTTGGGGGTGCGGCCGTTGTCGAGGCTGACGCTTGTGGTTCGCTGGCGGCGAGCCTTCCGCTGATCACCTTCGTCGTCGGACTCCGCCTTGGGGGCCTTTCGCTTGTGAGGCACCAGACGCTCTCCAGACTTGAGCTTATCGCGCAGAGACGATGAAACGGGCTTGGAGGAGGCGTGAATGCCTTCAGAGTCTGAGGGTGAGGCGGCGGCCACGGCGTCAGATCGCCGGCGGCGGTGAGGTGGAAGCGGATGCTGTTGACGCTGGTGGTTCTGATTGTGGGGAGGCGAAGTTGGTGCAGAACTCAGGCCGCTCGAGGCGCCGTCCTTGCTGCGAGGTTGGCGGTCCTTGTCGACAGGGCCCGGAAGCCGTTTTTTGACGCCTTCGACGGATCGGCCGCCAGCTGCGTTCTTGTCGCCCTGGTTACTGGCAGCCGCCGGCTGGCCGTTGCCTCTGGCCGAGTCGGCGTCGCTCTCGCTCCTGTCCTCCTGCCTCACCTTTCGAACCTTGGAGGGCGAATGGCCATCCTTGCCCGGCAGAACAATCGTCTCGGCGTCTGAGTCGCGGTCGGCACCAGGTGCATCGTCGTGTCGGGCAGCCGTGGAGGACGACAGAGACGACGACTCCCGCGTCTTGAGCCTGGACGGCGACGATGGCCTCACAGAAGGGTGCTGCTTCGGATCTGTGTCAGAGCCAGAGCCTCGGCGTGGGCGCTCGTGTTTGTTTTGCTGCTGCTGAGGGGGAGGGCCAGCATGCTTGGGCGTGTCGGACTCGGCAGCATTCTGCGCGTCCATGACATTTATCTTCGAGAATTGCCGGTGGCTACCACCATCATGGAGATGAAAGGAGTTTCGGCAGCGTGGACGCCGAAGGAGAGGCCGATTGATCTGGTCACGTCGACCGCCACGTCAGAGCTGCTGGCAATAGCCACCTGCGGAGATGGATCAGATGGAATGGGGGCAGAGGGCCTAGCAGCCGGGGATTTTAGGCACGACAGCACCGGTAACAGATGTAGCAAGCCGTTATGGGTGGTCCAAGCCGGCACGGATGTGGTCGCCTGGAGAGAAAATAAAATAAGATGACGGGGAAGAAAACAGGATTAGAGCCGCTACGAGGGGGCTGGTGGGCATGCGGCGATGGCAAGTGGCGGGAGACGAATCGATGCTTTTTTTTCCTCGGTCGGGTGTCGAGAGTGCAAAAAGAACTAGAAGTTCAATGATGAATCGATGAAGCGTGTTCACCGTAGCGCAGCTCAGGGCACGGAGTACGGAGAGCTGTTAGCGGACTTGGGAGCTGGGAAAATAGTTGGAAACTGCCGGGGCTGGGAGCTGGGGGGCCACAAGTACACGGCATGTACTAGTACGGCCAGTGTGCCTTGGTACGGATACAGAGGATGGACCACAGGTTACAGGTGCGAAGTAAGACAGCGTGCAATAGCGGCCTCTGGAGCTAGCGCTAGTGCTGGGTGCTTGACCTGGTGCTGGTGCTCTCGTACGAGGCGGTACGTACCCACAGCGTCAGTGGCCGCGGAAGAGTACTTGCGAGTACCGGGCCAGAGGAGAGCAGCGCAGGCTAGAGCTATGGACGACAGGTGCTAATAGCAGATGGTGCCGGGCTAGCGAGGTGGAAGTGGACAGCGCAGCACATTGCGCAGCACGGCACGGCAAAGCAGCGGCAGAGGCAACAGAGCAGCCAAGCACCAGCAAAAGAGGAAGCGCAAAGAGGCAAAAAAGCAAAAGGCAAAAGCGCAGCGACCATGGGGCTGGGTCTGAAGACGGGGATGCAATTCGAAACTCAACCGCATGCTGCCGCCCGCCTGATTGGCCCTGGCCGCCAGCCGCTCCAGCCGGCGCAGCGCCATCGCGGTGCAGTTGTGCGGCCGAAACAGCGGACCTCCAGCCTAAACAAACCCTGTCGAGCCCTGTTTAGCCCTGCCATCCCGCGTTGCCACCCTCCAATAGGCCCCCCGAAGGACTCCAAAAGGCCCTCCCAGGCCGCGGTGGTGCAGCAGCCCCCGCCGCCCACCAATCACCGCTGCAGGCGGCGCCGGCAGTGCTCGAGCGCACCTCGGGTTTCCTGGGCTTGAAATACGGGTGCCGTCGCCTCGTTTCTGCGAGCGCGCGACGAGGAAGAATAAAAAGGGAAGAGTCAGGACAGACAAAAGCCAGCGAGAGCGTCCTTGCCCTTGCCTTTGCCCTCGGGGAGAGGCCCCGACGTGCTGGCGCCGGCATTTAGCATTTGGCTCGTGCAGCATGCCATGCTGAGCTTGACCTGCGCTGCGCTCTTTTTTCCACCCTTCTGCTGTACGACCTGCAGCCAGCACAGCATGTGAGGGTCGAGTCTGACTGCCGGAGGCGGCTCAACGCAACGCCCCCCCGAAGCAAATGCGCTCGCTGCAGGCCGATAACAACACAGCAGTCCCAGCACTCGGCTAACCCTAAACGGACGGCCTTTTCTGCGGCGAGGAGGCAACAAGAACGCTGCAACCCCCTAGCTGGATACGGCTATTCGCTGGGCCATCACCCCATTATCCCCCTCTTGCTTGCGGCCATTCGACGACAAACCAACCATCCGCACTCGCTGCTCTGATCCGGACGGGGTGGCTCACGCGTTGGACCAGTCAGACCGTGGCGTAGCTCGACGCCGTCTCTTGTCCACGATACGATCTCCGGTTGCCTGGAATCCTGATCATGGCGACTGCAGGCACCGGCGACGCACGGCTGCCTTCGTCTCTCGAGGCAGCTAAAATCACGTCGCTGCCGCCAACGTCCTACTATGTGCCCAACTTCATCAGCGAGGAAGAGGAGCGCATGATCCTCGATAAAGTGCGTCTGCCAACGTGACTTGTGCCATCGAATCCTGCTCTTGACCTGCTGCGGCCTGGCTGATAACGAACCCCCGTTCACTCCAGATTGCTGCGGCTCCTCGGCCACGATGGAAGCAGCTCACACATCGACGCCTACAGACTTGGCCATCGGATCTCGTTCAAGACAGGCTGCTGGACGCACCACTGCCTCCCTGGCTCGAAACGCCCGTGGTGTCGCGGCTGTTATCCCTCCCGCTCTCCGATGACGACGACGGCAATGCTGTGAGACACATATTCGCCGATAGCCCCCATCAGCGCCCGAACCATGTCCTCATCAACGAATATCCTCCCGGCATTGGCATCATGCCGCATAAGTTAAGTGTTATGATTTAGTAGATGGAATCCCTCCCAGCTTCGAAATGCTCATCCACCCTAGGATGGCGCTGCGTATTGGCCCGTTGTGTGCACCGTCAGCCTGGGCGCCAGCATCTGTCTGAACCTGTACCGCAGCAAAGAGGACGGCGCCCTTGATCCCGAACCTGCTTGGCGAATTATCCAAGAACCTCGTAGTCTTCTTATCACTACAGCGACTCTATATACAGACTATCTGCATGGAATATCCGGTATTAAGGAAGACCTAGACCTATCCGCCGATACGATTGTAAATTGGCCGTTGCTTCGAGAACCCGAGGCGTTTGCCAGCGGCCAAAGCGTGAGACAAACCCGCACTAGTCTCACATACCGAGATGTCCTCAAAGTTTCCAAGGTTGGAAACAGATTGGGTCTGTTCAACAAGCGATGAAAGCGCGTTTAGAGCTTCAGGAGCAACGTAGTCTAGAATACAAACGGAATCATGGCCCATTTTCCAACCAGCTTGTCCGCCCCGAACTTTTCAGCATACCATTTTTTCGTGCCATATGCTGTCGCACCGAGATTCGACACGACGAACAACAATATGTACAAGATCGATCTATTAAAGAGGGCTCCTCGGGGCGCCGCAGCGACGGCAAGGCCCACGTAAACCAGGCATTCGAACGTGTAGTGGGGGGAAACGAGGTACTTAAACCAGCCCTCACTTGGGAGCGTGTATTTCTTGAGGCTCGCCAGATACCTGTGGCAGTTATTTTGCTGAGCACCTGCAAAGCCGAAGATTGCGGCCCCGATTATGATTTGTGGTGTAAAATGAATTGGCTGCGGCGACACCCACGATTTGAGGATTGCTCCTGTGAATTACCGTCAGTCTTATTCCCAATAACGAAATAAGCCCACCGCGAAATGTGGCCAAGACGCGAGACCAACCTGATCCTTGTATCCAGACGCTGATGCCCACGGCTGTGTAATAGGCCACTCCAAGAGCCCAATGAAATGCCGACATGGGAGATGATCCGGGTTTTGAGACAAAAAGACACTCGGACAGTCTTCTCGCTCCTTGGCAGCTCATCAGAAGCCAAGTCACCAGCGTGGCGCTCAGCTCGACCTCGGGAGAATGGCTCCCCACTGCAGATCGATGCTGCATCTCAGCCATGGCCCGCATGATGCTGCCCTTGGATATATATTGCCAGCCCCAGAAAATTGACCATGACACAGATACTATGTAGAAGTGTATGAACCACGAGTGAGGCACCTGGGCATAGCTTGTCAGGACCAGAAGAGAATCTGCCTTTGCCTCAGCCTTCTGCCCGGAAGCTTGGCTATTTGGCCCATGCTGGGTATGCGCCGGCCGCCTAGCACCGTATGCGAAAAAGGCCTTGCGAGCGTTGTCCGGGAGAACTTGCATCGAGAACAAAATCGCGGTGCTGACCACGAAGAAGGCTTGGCACCATTCTGCTGGCGTCGTGCTGGCCATCTTGGTCACTTTTGGCTACTTTCCTAGATATAGAAATCGACGTTTAGCTGCTGGACGAGAAGATGAGGGCAGGGGATACCAACGGGAAGGGAGATGCAGAGAGATAAGGCTACCTTCTGGCTCAGTTTTCGGCCGCACGTATGCACATGGCGGAGCAAGCAGCACTGAGCAATTCAGTCACAGCCGACAGCTACTATCAACGTGCCCCGCAAGTTGCACATGACAGACCCCTCTTTGAACGAGGAACGAAGTACGAAGCTCACCTGAATCAAACCTTCAAGCCGCAGCGGCCGGCCGCGCACTAAGACTAAGGGGAGCGCCGGCGCTTTGCCGCTGTGGGGTCTAGGGGGCTGCTTAGCTGCCTTGATTCCGCGTCTGTGCCAGTAGTCTTGCGGTCAGTATGCATGCATGAATTCTAATCCATTGTGTCGTTCAAAAAAGGCGTGGCGTGGCTGCAGTCGAATGGCCATCATATGAGACGAATACGTAGAAGCGACCCTATGCCAGGGGTTGGTGTAACGGCACGGCAATGGCAGACTTGACATTGGCTGAAGTGCCGGCAGTCGGAAGAGGAGGTGGAGACGTTCATGTGCCTGACAACCTGTGGCCACCTGTCATGCGCAAAGTCCAATGCGTATAAATGTGTATTTCGACTAGACTACTAAGGTATCGGCGCTGCCAAGGCACCTGAACCCGGATCCTGTACCGTGGAAAATGCAGATACCTTCCTAGGTGCTTTTTTTCTCCCTCGAATTTCAACTCTTCTACCTCTGGGTGGTCTAGTTGGTTCATGGCGTTCGACTGTAATGGATAACATCTCATCGAAAAGTCGGCGGTTCGATTCCGTCCCCGGAGAGTTCATTCTTCCGGAGAAGAGTTACTTTTTTTTTTTTTTTTCTCCCCCTTATGTCTTGAACAAACAAATGAATGTTCTGTCGATGTTCTGCTTGAATAGTGGTTGGCACGACGTTCATTAGATAGGCTGATTGATGGCGCGTCGTAGAGAACGATGTGTAACACAACCGTAGAGTTCTCTGCCCTCCTTACTGTAGAAGACTCAATACAAATGCTGATTTACAAGCCCTTGAAATTGATTTGACACGACTCCGAGATGGCAGTGGTGATCTACAGCTCCTGTGATATACCAGTACTACTAGGTACTTGCCCATGAAAAAGTATAAAAAGTATCAAGTAGCAGTGTTCAGAGTTTCAACAAAGCTTTTTGTGCTTGCCTACTGAGTAAGATCAAGGCTCGGTTAGAGAGTCTCAATCCAATAGCACAAAGTTTAAGATATCAGGCCTACAGTTGTTCAACTACAGAGCCATTCCAATGAACATTATATCCTCTTAGCAGTGCTTAAGTACTAATCTAGGTGTTTTTGACTATCACGGCTAGCATCCGCTTGGTACGACCACCTTAACCAAGTATACGAATTGCACCGGTGTCGGTTTATACGAGAACAAACGTCTCAAAGGAACCTTGGTGCCTTGCGCACTTGACAAAAGCAAGTTTTTCTTAATCACGTGGGACAAAATGTTCAAAACCAACTCCATCATGTTGGGCAACATCATCGTTTCCTTGGTTGCTGCTATGCGTTGCTCCTACCCGAAGAGATGTTGGAGCTGCTGCCAATCTCATACAATTTCAATCTCAACGAAAAAGCAGCAATGTTTAACTTTAACAAAATCTTTATTCATTTCACTCCATCAGGCAAATTTCTATATACTATATCCAATGTCCAGAATCTGGATCCCTTTATTTCCCAATATCCCACATCGCCAGTTCCCATATCTGCCATGCCATGCCAGGCTTTTACTCAAAGAATGCGCCCTTAGCAGCCCCAGGTCTTGCACTGCTGCTTGGGGTTGACATTCTTGTTAACAGCCAAGCAGTCTTGGTACTGGGCCTGACATTTCTTGGCCGCGTTAGAAGGAGAGTTGTCGCCGAAGCCCCAGTTCTGCGTGAACTGGCTAATGCTGAGCGCACGCTTGGCTCCCTCGCTGCGCTTCCATCGGAAGCCGGAGCCATCTTGGCAGCCCTTCTGGTAGACATTTGTGCATTGCGTGTACTGCTCTTTGCATGCATCAGAACAAGCATTGCCGCAGCCTGAGGGAGGGTACGAGGGGCAATTCCAGCTCTTCTGGTTGATGTACAGCTTGAAGGGGTTGTTGCGCCAATCGCTGTAGATGTCATTGCAGCTGACAATGGGTAGGGAGATGCCACCGACGGGGTTTCCTGGGCCATAACCGTACTTGGAGTTGGAAGGCTGCGTGCAGATGTTGGTTGGAGGAGGAGGGCAGTGGCTGGGTTTTGTCGAGGTAGCCGGAGGCTTGGTTGTCGTGGTTGGAGGGCATGGAATGACGGTGGTGGACGTCTTGGGAGGACTGCCGCCCTGGCCGGGGTTGTGGTTCCAGCAATCGCCCTTGGAGCATTTTCCGAACAAACAGGTCGAGCTGCAGTACTGCTGAATGCCGCTGCACCACTGGCCAAAGTTGAAGCATTGAAGAGCGCCGGGGAAGCCAGCCTGGGCGAAGCAAGAGGCAACACCAGCGGCGCAGGTAGAGTAGGCCTTCAAGCAGTCCTTCTCGTTGCTCCAGTCGGGTAGAGGAGGGAAACACCAGTCACCACACTTATACTCGCAGGAAGGTGGAGTGGTAACGGTGACCGTACACAGAGAACTGGTAGTCGTGGTGCTAGTACTCTTGGAGGTTGTTGTGCACTTGGTTGTAGTAGGGGGGGGCGGCGGTGGGGTGGTACTCGTGGACGTCGTTTCGCACGGGTTGGTGGTGGAGGTAGGTGGTGGAGGAGGCAGTGATGTTGTCGAGACTGAAGTCGTTGTGCACGGGGTGGTGGTGGAGGTAGGTGGTGGAGGAGGCAGCGATGTTGTTGAGACTGAAGTGGTCGTGCTGCTGCTAGAGGGAGGAACCCAGCCACATGGCTCCAAAGACTCGAGATCCGTGGCGATGTACAGATTCAAGAGGCCACTTCCGCCGCAGGTCTCTGAGGAGTTGCCCTTGCAGGGGAAATTACACTGAGAGTCATCCACCTTTGTGGTGCTGTTTGCAAGAACGTTACCACACCAGCATTCGCCTCCAAACTCGGTACCGGCTAAGGGGAAGCCTTCTGCCTCACAGGCAGTCAAGCAAGATTCGGTGGTGAAGGTGGATGAATCAACATCCGCCGACCAGGAAAGGGCACGGCCCTGTTGCGAGTTGTCCGAATAGCAGCCAGCAGCCTTGTAATCGCCGATGGTGACCTGCTTAGTAGGGAATGTTGGATCTTGCCAGACGGAGAGGAGGTTGTTTCCTCCACATGTCTCGGATTTGTTGCCGGTGCAAGGGAAGCTGCACTGAGACTCATCTACTTGGGGCCCGTCAACAGTGCCACCACAGAAGCAAACACCATAGTACTCGAGGCCAGCATAACGGAAGCCATTGCCTATTAAAAAAAGCAGATTGTTAGCTCATGAAAGTTTAACAAACAGCAGTCATCTAGTTTACGAACCTTTGCAGTCGGCAACACACTCTTCAACAGTCATATTGTCAGAAGACAAAGTCGAGCGGAAGATGAGAGCATTGGGGTTACCAGGGCCGCCATCTTGAAAGCAGCCGGAGTAGACAAATGGTTGAAATTTATCCAAGCAAGGAGGCAACTCCACGTTCCAGGCTTGCGTGGATGCCACAAACGAGAGCGTGGCAACCGCGGCCACGAGGGACCGGGAGACAGACATTTCAATGGCGATGATTTCTAGGAAGGCCCGAGACACAGAAGATTGGCGTGAGCTGAGCAATACTTGTCTAGGAGCTCGAGTTACTCAGGTTGGTGGTGGCAAACGAGGAATCTCAGCAATCCAGGTCGGGAATCGGAGCTTTATATACACCTCGTCAAAGGATCTATCTGCTATTGATACAACATACAGCACGATAGCCGGCCTCCACATATTCCAGACTATACCCGCTCACCATCTACGGCATTCGACTTGGGCCTTGGGGGTCTAACTTTCCAAAGATCACCAGATCGGGCTGAGGTATACCCCTGCAGCTTCCTAACCCTTGTTCCCGAGAGAAAAGCGCCATGCCGTTAGTCTATGTCGGCCATGTCAACCAAATTCCCTGACTAAAACTAATAAGCAGTGGCGGACAGGAGAAAATAGAGACAGGCAGCAATGTAAACACCTACCTAGAGGTTTGTTGCCAAGCCAGTGCCGATGTCCGTCCAGCCGCTTTGTACTCCATACTACTAGCACTAATAGTAGCAGCTGGCCTGTAAGGGGAGAATAGCGGTAATGCATGGACAGACCAAGAAATTCTGTCATACCCATTGGGTCAAGACAGGAGGAGTCATATTCGCAGGATTGTTGAATAGAGACGACTGATGGCAGCTCTACTCAGCCAAAAGCAAGTGGGAACACCACCAACACCCAAAGTTGGATATGCCTGTATACGTTAAGCTGTATTAACTGTGTAAACATGGCATATATAAGATTCGCTGAGCTATTACAGGACTCGATACTACATTACTCCGCTCATAAGTATGGGCCAGAAGCGTGGAGACTGTCTATTAAACGAGTAATATCTAAAAACCTTACCGGTAGCTATTCCTAGATGAGGGTAAGTACCTCATGGTTATCTAGTTCTCATGGAGCCTAGCAGCTAAACAGTGCTTATAGGTAGCAACATTAGCTTGTTACTACTTAGTGACGAGCTACGCTGATACCCGAAGCAATGCAATTATGCCAAGCATTATTAGCGAAGCGATCTTGGAAAAGGCGCTCAAAACTTCGTGATACAAGGCCTTGACAGAAGGATATTGAGTAATGCTAAGGCATAAAGTAAATTGCAGCTGAAATGAAGGCAGGAGTGCGTAAATCAAGCGCAAGATCCAAACAATGATTGGGTGGAAACATAGCCGGGCGTTTCCGAACATGCATATAGGCGGCGTTCTGGACCTCTCAGCCTCTTTCGATCCTTCTCGGAACCCGATATTGTTTACCTTTTTAGCTTGGAAGAGGGCTGCCGTTACGGTTGGATCTAGGCGCAAACAGTCGTCGTGTCAGGCTCTGCATACAAACTACACATGTGCATATTACCACTACTCGTATACTAATACCCATGCACGATGCTGGTGCCACGATTTTTCAGCTCTGATGCCGGGGCATCGGGGCTTTACGATGGGCGAAATAAGCACGCTAGGCAGGCTTTACTTCAAAGATCGAATACCGCAGTGGGTCTCTTTACTGGTCTCTCAACTGACGAGTAGGTACGGATATTGGACGATATCCGGTGTTCACAGAAGAGCAAACTGAAGAAGCAACGTAAATACACTGGGCAACGATATTACTAACTAGCCAACCATGTTGTGATAAAACAAGAACGCTGTATCATTGGTCTATCAGAATCAGTGATTTTTCTGTCACTTCTAGCTGCGTCAAAAGCAATATCAAGCGGCGTCTTTGCTATTTGTTAGCTCTGCGGTGGAGGGTAGCATCAACAGGCCAATATTGCTACCGTAAAAAATAAATAGGCATGGGTCGATGTGGGCGCAAGGGAACATACAAAGCTCGCTGCCAGCTCATCATGCGTCTCAGCGTAGTTCCTTGTGTAGCAAAGCTGCATTCATCCCACAGCTCCAGAATACGAGCGGGTTGTATTCTCTGTCTTTTCTCTGCCGTGGTGGGGATCGTGTATTGGCGGCTTGTAAAGTGAGCCGTGTGGAGGAGGAGCATCATTCGATATGCATGTGCTGAGAGAAGCATTGGCCAGTAGGCTATCTCGACTCAACCGACCGTCCAACATCCATCGCCGCTTGGTGCTGCTAAGAATAGAATTGGTCAATATGGAGTCTCTACAACCACCACCGCACTCGTATTGTCTCCGAAGGGTGTGGCCTTGGACAGTTTTCGGTGTCAGCTTTGCGGTAGGGAAATCAGTTATTGAACGCCGGGCTGAGGTCTTAGATTCAACAAGCAAGCCATAGATGGCTTTCAGAGTCTCAGATACAGTGATGGTTATGACCAACACTATAAGCAGATCGATCTTAGTCTCCATCAGCCCACCACGCCTGGGTTTAGGGTCAGCTTCAGGTTCAGGCTCCCGTCGCTCAAAGTGTGTGCCATTGGACATGCCCTGCAAGGTGGAGTCAACGCCAAAGCCTACCCGAGGCCATCAGCTTCTCGGTCGGCCGGGTGGTCGGCTGGGTAGTATGCCGCTGCGTATTAGTGAATGCTTCAGGTTGGGATTGTCTAAATTTGCCCACCGGGCAATGTGTTAGACTTCGAGTGCCCGTCTGCTGCACAGTTGGGGTGGGTACACGATGCAGTGTCAATTTTTACCTTTTTCTATAACCATTGGTTTGGTAAATTACTTGCCGTGCAACTCTCCGGTAAGTGCAGCAACACCCAGCATTTCTACGATTACTGCAAATTCATACATGAAATTGACCCATGGCAGTCTCGCTAATCGCGGATACCGAGGTAAGCTTCCTTCGGAGTTTACACCGCCCCGACTTGTTCTTTATGGCTTTATCCCTCTTTACCTAAAAATGGAAAGCATACGTTGAACCTCGACAGCAAAAGGTTGTTCAGCTGTGGTGGTGGCCATGCGAGCCGCTGTGTAGTTTGTTTTCTCCCTACATTATGTCGAACTAACTTCGGCCCCCATCCCTCCCAGCCAGCCGCTCTGCCAAGGGGGCCACCCTCGCCGGATCTACCCCTGACTTGTCCATCTACTGTAAGCTCCCCCCGCCGCTGCTAGACTAGGATTTTTGACCTCAAAGCAAATACCTAGTTAGCATTCGCCTCACCAACTTGGCCATACAATTTCAAGACCAAAACAAAAAAAACGCCACGATGCAGAGACGGCAAACCAGTCCTGAGAATAGAGGCCACTGCTAGTAGCGGCTCCTAATTGCGCGCCGTCCATTGTTTCGCCTAGCGAGGTCGGGCCTTACAGTGCCACGCAATCCTCAGCTTTCTCGGCTTTCCTTCTTTTGTTCCTCTTCTGCGGGCTTGCATTGTGCTAAAGCACTTACTACGACCAGATGGGTTGAAAAGCCCTCTACGTAATAATTTTGCAGCCCGACAGCCCGATTCACCGACACGTTTCTCGTCTCTTCTTTTTTTATTCTCCCTTGCAGCTCAATCGTCTCACCTGAACTATTGAATCTTGCTGAGCTGCGCAGCTTGCCTTTTTTGCGCCTTTATGCCGCCCCCTTGCAGCATAAGGCTGGCACCTTTGACCTGGGGCTAATATTCTTAAGTCAAAGCTAAAGCAAACCATTGTTAATCCCGTAAGCCTTTAGCCTCTTAGTCAGGCGTTATGCTTTCACCTAGGCACAACGATCTGGTCAGTACCTGCAGCGTTGGCGGCAATACGACGGTGTTTACATCTCTCGGTTTCTCTCTCTTTTTTCTCTTGTTCCCGTGTCGTGGCTGGCCGTCAGATCATCAGACCATGTCCCTTGCTTCATATATGACCTTGAATTGATTTGATTTGATATGATACTGGCTTGCGAGGAGCTCAGGGCGCTGATGTTGAACTATTGATGTAGAACTTCATCTGATGAAGTATTCTGCCGCTATTTGTAAAAGTGTAAAGTCTTGAAGCCAAATAACACGCTCCTTCGTCGTACGGCTTATAGTCAAAATATGAATACAAATATCGCACCTCGAAATGTCAATTGTTTTTGCAGAACTGCGAGTGAAATAGATACGGAAATGGCACTCGATTAGCCTACAAGGTACTAGTAGAAACGCTTCACTCTGTGGCAATATTTGGGCTTACTCTGGGAATGGACACACGTCTTGGTACAGTCACAGGCACATATATTAGCACAAAATCTTGAAAAGATAATGGTCGTTTATATAGAATTACACTTATATAGCTCAAACTACCCTGGAGACATCAACATATCAAGGCAACTCTCCTTCCAACTAAATCACATAAAAAAGAAGTAGGTAGAACAAGTTTTTTTATGTGCTTTCTTTTTTTCATCCATTCTGGCATGCTCGTACCTCAGAGGACGGCGAATTAATGCTGAGCTCTAGAGTACATTCAATGCAAACCAATCCTTCCTTCTTTGAAAGATTTTTTCCCCAAAAACGCCAAGTGCAAAAATATGTAGCCAGGAATATCCATGCGCTTCATTCCCTTCATGACTTGTTCCTCAGGTGAGGAGGAACCCACTTGCCAGAGGTTCGAGTAGGCAGACTCTCTGTAGGAGCGGCAGGAGACTCAGTCTTGCCGTTCTCGCCCCGTCTTGAGTCCTCGCGAGGAGAATCACGAGGAGAATCACGAGGAGAGTCGCGGGGAGAGTCGCGGGGAGAGCTGCGAGCGTCACGGAAATCGCGAGAATCGCGAGGTCCAGGGCCTCTAGCCGGAGGGGGAGCATTGTCGTTTGCTGCCCCACCGGATTCCTTGGCTGCTTGTCGGTCTCTCCAGCTTGGCTTGTTGCCGGAGCCGGCCAGCTGCAGTCTTGGCGGGCCGCCGGATGGGCGATCGCCAGACTCTGTCCGTGCCGGAGCACCGCCCTCTGCGGAATCTCTAGCGGAATCTCTAGCGGAATCTCTCTCACGCTCCTTCTCTCGCCAACCGCCGCCAGATCCAAAGAGTGGTGGTCGTCGACCCTCGCCACCGGCGGCAGCAGCAGGAGGCTGTCGTTCCTTTTCTGCTTTACGGCGAGCAAGTGCTTCTTCCTCACGTCTCTGCTGGAGTGCGGCCTTCTCCAACATCTCCTGGCGTTCCTTCTCGCGCTGCTCCTTGAGCTTGGCAAGTTCAGCCTTCCTGGCTTCGTCACGCAGGCGCTGCTCTTCCTTTTCACGAGCAGCCTGCTCCTCTTGCTCTCGGAGGATGCGCTCTCTCTCCTCCCGCTCTCTCTTCTCGCGCAGCTTGCGGTCACGGTATTCCTTCTTGCGGATGGCAATCTGCTTCTCGAGCTCGCGCTCAGCATCCCTGCGGCGCTTCTCAAACTCATCGCGGCGTCTCTCGTGCAGCGATGATCTGAAATTCTCGTATAGAGGCACCAGACGGCTAAGACGGTGCTTGAGTTCCACACTCTCCTTGTGCTTCTCTTCAGCCTCTCTGAGGGTCTTGACCTTGACTGCTTCATAAATCTCGCGGTCACGCTCGGTTTGCTTATTGTAGTCGTCAGTGAGCTTCTTAACCTCCTCCTTTCGGTAAGCTCGCTCCAAATGGTCAAGTCGCTTGCCAGTAATGCGTAGCTTCTCGCTGACATCGTTCTTCTCCCGCTCCAGCTGAGCCAGCTTCATGGCACGAAGTCTGTTGCTATCCAGGTTGTCAATGTCATCAAGATCAATGTTGAGAGCCTCGCCGCTCATCTTGAGATCAGCAATCTGCTTCTTAATCTCTTCCTTACGAACGCGGTCATGTTCGGCCTTGATGCGTCGGGCCTCACGCTCACGCTGTTCCTCAGCAAGTCGCTTATCTTCAGCTTCCTGCAGAGCTTGCTCTCGCAGCTTCTTCTGCCGAGCGTTCTCCTTCTCCTTCTTAGCCTGAAGCTCAGATGCCTCATCCTTGCGCTTCTGGATGACGTCCTTGCGTGCAAGAGTCTCAATGTGCTCCTTCTCAGCGCCAGCCTTTGCGCGGGCCAGAGCAGCATCATGAGCCGCCAGACGATCCTTGTTGAAGTTAGGATCAATGTAGTGGCATGAAACGAAAAGAGCCTTGGCAAGTCGAGTCAGCTGAGAGCGCACAATCTCAGAAGGTGTGCTCTGCAGACGCTGGACGTTGCCGCCATCAGCCTCAGCAGAACCGGCGGATGATCCACTGTGTCCAGCCTTGGCCGATGAGAAGACGTCGTTGTCAAAGCTGAGGACGCCAGTAGCATGGTCCATGCGGATAGCAAGATCACCCTTCTTGTTTCCGTTCATGATGAACTTCTCAATGGTGCCGCGAGTGACCTGGTAAGGCTCGGGGAACTGAGCCAAGCTCTCGACAAAGTTGAGATCGACAGTCTCGTAGACCTGAGAAAGCTGCTGGAACAGGCGAGTGAGGATGACCTGCTGGAGAGGGAGGATATACTTCTCCATCTCAGCGTCGGCAGCAATCTTGGTCAGGATGGGGGAAATCTTCTTGCAGATGAAGAGTGGGTGGAAGTCAACCTCCAAGATGTTGTAGAGATCGCGAATTTCAGGAAGAGATCGCTGGAGAATAGACTTGGACATGGCATCGCGGAACAGTCGAGAGCGAGATGGGGCCTGGCTCATGCCAAGAAGGGTGGTCAGGCGAGTGTTCTTGTTCTTGCGGGCCTCATCGAAGTCGACCATGGCACCTCGGGATCGGGAGGTGCTGATGACAGGGATGGCGAGGGCAGACAGGAGAACGAAAGAAGCGGCCCTCTGGAGATCAGCATCAGAGGCTGGAGGGTTATCAGCCTTCTTTCCCTGGCCAGAGGCGACCAAAGCCGAGACCTGGCGCAGCAGGGTGTAGTATCTTGACCAGGCAGCAGCGTGGAAAAGGTAGTTCTCGCCAACCAGGAAGATTCTGGTGAGCTTCTCGTAGTAGTTGGCCATCATGATATTCTTAGGGGGTCGCTTGCTGAGGTTCAGCAGAGTGTGGATATCCTCGACACTTCGGAAAGCCTCCTGCCAGAGCTCCAGCTCGACAGCAACATTGAGCTGCTGGAAACGAGTCTCTAGGTGACGCTGCAGGGTATCAGGGTCACTGAGGTTGATGGCGTGCATCTGAGACGAGTACTTGGCCGCCGTCTGGACGTGGTTTCGGAGAAGCTCACAGAGTCTTCGGAACTCGGTCTTTCGGGTGTACTTGAGGCAGAAGTCGAAGGCCTGCATGGCAGTGCTCTGGTAAAGGACCTCGAGGCGAGCATTGTTGCGAAGGATGTCAAGGACAGTTCGGTAAGCCTCCCAAAGGAACTTGAGCCAAGGAGTGACGATGGCACGGTCGGTTCGATCACGAGATTGCTCGCCAGAGACGGTGGCAAGGAGGATAGACTCGGGGGTCTCGCTGGCTTCCAGGTCGTCAATGTTGGAGGTAGCAGCCGTAGCCTCAATGGTAGATTGAACTTCGTCCGCCTTCTGCTGGGCAGCAGTAACCTTCTCCACCGCGAGTTCGATAAACTTTTTCAGGACCAGCTGTGGGGGGGCGGTCAGTAATCCATTGTAATCTTCCCCTTTGTTTCTTCATCTTCTTTCATCCATTCAACTTCGATGCTGTACCCACCTCAATGGTCGAAATGTTGGTGTTCTGAGAAAGGTTCTTGTACTGGTACAGGGCATCCTTGGCCAGCTTTCCCTTCTTCTGCTCGACGGAGAGCTCAACCAACAGGAGCATAACAGGCTCGAGAGAGGCGATGGCAGCGCTTCGGGAGCGCTTGTTGGTGATGTGCTCATGGAGCAGGGTCAAGGCCGTCGGGGCCTGGTTGACCCCGATCAGCTCGTGGGCGCGCTTCAGGACATTTTCGGGCTTTTGATGCGGCGGGGGCGGCTATCGAGGGGGAACAAAGTCAGCATCACAGCCCAACCTGGAATTTGCATAGGGAGGGGCAAAGATTGGCAATGAGACGGTCGGTCGCATCTGCCTTGTCCTACGCACCATACTGGGCAACCTCCTCTACGGGTCGATGTGAACCGGGCTAGGAGATTTGGGGGTAATGAGTAGCCGTCGCAGGCCTGACGATGGTTGAGATGGGGCGCTGGCGTGGCACTCTTGGTGGTGAAGCGACGCACACTGGGAGGAATTTTTCAATTTCGTGTGTGGACGCTATCCGAGCATGAGGGGCTGCGGAACGACCCATGTCACGTGGTGATTATGTCATCATGCCGTTTGCTGCTGTTCTTGGAACGTTGAAACAGGCACTGGCCAAAGCAAATCGGGATTCATATCAGAGCAGAGTTTGCGCCACGAGTAAGTTTGCGATTTGCTTTTAAGCCTTCAAACACTCGCGTATGGATGACTGCTATGAATGCCCGTGTCCCTGCCCGTAAATGATCTGTGACCACACCTGTGCACCATTCCGGGCGCACTCCTGGCCTCGCTCGGCTCAAAGTCACATGATCAGCGTGTGTGGTGGATTCACGAGCTAGCAGTATCAAAGCATGCGTACCAAAAAACGAGGCGCGCCTAAGCCATCTAAGCACGACTGTATTGGACCGCCACAGTAGACAGGCCTACCTGGCCTGCTATACAGCATAATTTCTCAATCAAACATCTGTTAAGCTGAATCATGGAAGGATCGTCATCCCGGAGATCTCGCTCGCGATCACCGCCTCGACGAGCGCCCAAGGGCAGCGGCGGATTTCGATGGAAGGATAAGAGCCGCTCAAACGACGACAGCCGCGACAACTACAATTCAAGGAGAGACAGATATCGGGACCGAGACCGAGATAGGGACCAGGAGCGGGACAGAGACCGGGATCGTGATCGTGATCGAGATTATGGGGGAAGGCCACGACGTAATTTCCGTGACCGCTCGCGAGACCGTGATCGTGACAGATTCGGTGGTCGTGACAGGAATGAAGGTCGACCTAGATCGCAGTCTCCTCGACGATACGAGTCAGGGCCAAGAGACAAAGCCAATGATGTGAAAAGAGACGCAGGTGACAAGAGGGACAGAAAAGAAAAAGAAAAGAAGGCTCCCAAGGCTCCTGTGGCGGCGGGTCAAGAGTTCATCATCGTCCATGTCAACGACCGTCTTGGCACCAAATCGGCCATCCCATGCTTGCCATCAGACACGGTTGGGCAGTTCAAGCTCATGATTGCGGCGCGCATTGGGCGAGAGGCAGGACAAATCATGCTGAGGCGACAGGGCGAACGGCCTTTCAAGGATCACATCACGTTGGAGGACTATGGTGTATCGAATGGAGTGCAGCTGGATCTCGAGGTCGATACCGGCGATTGAAGAGCGTGTTTTCTCTTCCTCTCTGTTTCTTATTCTCTTTCTTTTAAGAGCAGCTCCCTTCGCAGCATTAATTCTCTGCACTAGAATATCAAATTACCCCGTCTGCTCTTAGCATGTATGTGGAATTAACGTCCATAATGATCAATCTAGCCGCTTACTGACAGATGTTTAGACTGCGCTGGTTGCATCAATAAAGGTACCAAAGAGTGCTTGTACTCGATGTGATGTTATAAGCGGAGGCCATTTTCTAATCATCCAAAGGCATTCGAGTCCACATTCATACAGAAACGAAAGCTTTCCATGTCTGAGTATTTGATGTGAAGTTGGCGGGCAATAGCTGTAGTATTCGTACATGTACTTTGCCAGGGCGTCTTGCAGTTGACAGGTACCAATTATAGAGCTGACGACAGCTTCGCGATGGATTTGGAATACAAGGAACAACCTGCCTAACAGGTGCCCGTCTTACGAACGAGGGTAATCTAGATGCAGAGCTGCAAGTTTTACCGCTCGTCATGTTTCAGGAAAGGGTTCTCTCTCAGCAGGATGAAGGATTCCCAGGCGAGGCAGAATCTGAGTTATCAGGCTCTCCCTCACCACTCAGATAACGATCATGGCAACAGAGTTAAAGGGGGTGAATAGGAAGATGAGAAGAAAGTAGAGAAATTACAAATACCAGTTCATAGCACTGCTGCTACTTGTAATTCTTGGCTACCGGCTGCTAAACAAGGAGAGGTGCCACCAAACTCGTACGTGTAATTTAAGCAACAAGTCACGGGGGGAGCTGGGCTTTTTCTCGCCAGGCACCGAGTAGCATTTCATGGGTGCTGCAGGTATAGCGAGCTCCGCCGCTCCATACTGAATGACGTGACGACGATCGCATCTTCCGTCCTCCAGGCTGGCGTCTTCCGATCTGGTTCAAAAACTGGGTAAAAGTGCAAAAGTGCTGCATGCCGCCTGTTCCACGGCACGGCCATTGCATCGTGCCGTCGCAATTGTCCCGCCAGCATTAGCAGTGCTAGTTGCTGAGTACGAAGCACTAGTAGCCGGTGGTAATTTCATGGTCGAGGTGCTGACGCGATTGCGCCGCATAGGACGATACGCATTGTGTACCTGTACTTGTAAGATTTGGTCCCCATTATCAGTACCAGTAGCAGGGGTTGCGTGGCTCCTCTCTGCTGCATTTCGCAGGCCAAAACGGGAAATGGGGCTCGGCCGGACAGGGTCCACGCTTGATTGGATGCGACGAGAGACAAGGCAGGAAAAATAAAGGGACTGCAGTGAAGAAGGAAGAAGGAAAAGAAGGAAAAAGGAATAAGAAGGAAAAAAAGAGACAAGGCTTGGATGGGGCAGTATATTATTATTATTTTTTTTTTTTTTTTCCTATTTCTCTCTCTTTTTTTTTCAACACGAGATGAATGTTTTTGTATCACCAGATGCCGTTACGTGAGAGGCGCTGTCTGGAGGTGTTGCTCGTACGAGTTCGCAGTACTTTGCCTAGCCTGGCGGAAGGTAGCTGTACCTATCAGCGGCAGCAAGAGAACGCATTGGCGTGCTGCTCACTTCTCCCTTGGCTCAATTACACGCACGAGCTATTGCTCTACAGCGCATAGCCATCGTCAAGCCACAGCTCCGCGCAGCGCAATGAAGTAAAGAGCAAAGGCAGCGCCCCAGCTCCTCGGCAACACAGGAAATCGACAGCAATCTGCTTGACAAGCCAAGGCTGGCAAGGTGCAAATGCTAGCGCCGCCCGTCGTTCTTTTGCCAATAGTGCTAGCAACCAGCCTTGGAGCTACTGCCTTAGCCCGTCCTTCCTACGGCAAGGGGTACATGTACTTGGCTTGCAGCCGAGTGCAGGTCACTCGCACGTTACATGAAGCAAAGCACTGGAGCGGCCCACCTTGCGGCCTTGGGGGCCAATCCTGGAGCACATCCGCGCTGCGCCGTTGCCTTGGTGCGCCGCCTGGTGCGTGTTGGTGCGCCGCTGCCCCCTGTCACTCCAATTTCCAGCGCCGCGCACGTCCCACCCAGACAGCTCCAGCAGCCACCCGTCCAGGCAAAACCGAGGGCGCCCACCCCTACCGCGCTGGCCAAAAGAGGCCCAGCCCCGGCAAGAAAAAAAAAATAGCAGCATCAAGCCCCTTCCCCCCCCGGAACGCCCCCCTACAGGAGCTCCGTCGGCCAGTTACAGCGGTGCCCACTGCTAATTATCCGCCAACATCTCCTGGGTCCAGCACCGCGCTGTGGCGGACTCTTCCAACTCTCCTCGTCTAGGCCTTCCAAACCCCCAACCTTACTCGTACACTCTCGCTCACGCTCACACTCTCTTTTCTTCCCCTTCTCATTCCCTCACACACACATCCACGTACCGCACGTCTCGCCTTCGCGATCAATCCGCCTCCTCTTATCCTCCCATATAGGAGTCTGTGTGTCGTCGCTGCTTCTCGCGACCATCAACGAGGGTTTCAAGAACGGCTGGTAAGTCCTTGTCTGACTTTTTTTTCCCTCTGCATTTCCTCGATTGCGCTGTTTCGCGATGCGTCCAAGGAGGGGAGACAGTACAAAGTACCGTCTCTCACTGGCAAGACACGGCACCGGGACCACGGCTGGGCGGATTGTACGGGCATGGACCAATTGAATTGAATCGAGATGGGGGAAAAGGAGCATCTCGACGCACTGCTTTGTTTGCCTCGTCGCCGGCAACCAGCCATCGCGGAGCCTGCGGAACTGAGACGCATTTGCCGCCCCGTACCGCCTTTCTTCTCTGCTCTTCCATCTCGCTCGCGGATGCGTTTGCATTCGCTCGTTGCACCGCCTCTGCCAAGCCGTGGCCACCGTCGCGCCCTCGCAATTGCAGCAAGCAACGCCTTGTTTCCTCTTTTTTCATCCTCTTTTACCGCATCGTGTTTCGTGTTGTCATCCGCCATCTTTTTGCTTCCAGGAGCTGTCAATCAGCAATCATTTGACCGACTAACCAGGCACCTGCAGGCAGTTCTCGTGACGATCCATCAATAAAATCCCATCGTCCCGGCCGACGACGCCTTCGAGCTTGCGAGCTATTTAATTACCCGACCTCGGTCCCATCCAACTCATTAGTCATTCTTTTTTTAATTTACGTACCATTACGATGCCTCAGTATACCTCCCGTGATGTCGGCGACCCGACCCAGATCAAGAAGACGAAGCAGTCCATGGCAGACCTGAAGCTTAGGCGCTTAACGGAGCTGAACAACAGACTGCGTGAGGACCTGGACCGGGAACGCATCCCCGTTAGCACCGCCTCTAAGAGGTAAGAATGACAACAATAATGCATTGCATTCGAGACTGACGCGATATTTGCAGCATAATCGCGTATTGCAACGGTACAAGAGATTACATGGTTCCCTCAGTATGGGGAACTGTACCCAAGGGCGAGGACCCCTACGCACCACAACAATCCGGCGGCTGCTGTGTCGTCATGTAATTCCGTTTCCCCCAGAGGTGGAAGAATGACCATCGATGACGTTTCAATTGGGAGGGATTTTTTTGACGCGGTTTTTCACTTTTTCTTCTTCCTCTTGTGTGATATGGGTTTTTATTATTCTCTCTTTTATTTTACAACGCGACGCGGCTGGGAATCAGACAGCGAGCGACGGATTCGCCAACGTCGACACACCACCAAACAAATAACACACCTGATCCGGAAAGGCCTTTACGAGAAACTAGACGGGACTCTGAGCTGGATCGACGCAGTCTCAATGATTATACCAATGCTAGAGAGGGGAGGGGGCGATGGGAAGGAGGAAGCAAAAAGTCGCCTGTGGACCGAGCAAGGCCCCGCGCTCCCTTTTCTCTACGAGTTTTTTTTTTCAGCTCTCTCTTACTTTTTAATAAAGCGGTCGAGCGGTTTCATCTAGGACAGGAAGGAGGAAAGAGATATATCCAACGATAAGAAAGAAAAGAGGAAAAAAAAAAAAGGGTCTACGGTGGATTGGGAAGCCGACTCTGTTTTTATTTTTTTTTTCTTTTTAGCATGTATTAATTCCCGTTTTCTTACTCCTTGTTCCTTTCTTAAATCGAATGCCCCTCTGCATACATCTTCTTCTTTCTAACTATTCATTTCTTTTTATTTGGGTATTTTCCCTTTTCCGTGTGCAGGAGATGGATGGGGCGTCACGAAGTTTAGTTTTGTACTCCCTTTTGGAGGTTTGAGCGGAAGCAGCTGGCTGGGAAATTGCCATTGTCGTGTATAATGTCGCTTGTTATACGAGTGCGCGTAGATAATTTTGACGGCCGGTTTTTTTTTTTTTTTTTGAACGAGGGGGGCAGTTGCATTTATTTCCCTGCGTGAAGAATGTGTAATAAAGATTCCTTGGTGCTGGCCATGTAATATGGAGTCTCAGCTATAGGATGGGTTTTTACGTATCAATGCTTTTCTCTATGCCGATTGACATGCTGGCATCAGCTTCTTGCTAAGCAATTAATGACGCGCCGCCACGTTTAGCGGCAGTGCTTGGCTGGCGATACCCTGTAACGGTGCCTGCATAACGCGTGCTGGTCCTTTTGTTACTCACCAATGATGAGGTAGATGAGCAGGATAGTTTGCTGACTGGCAATTATCATACTACAGTTGAAGCCAGAGATGTAATGTCACGGAAGATGCTCTCAGCGAGCATTAACGCCGAAGCTGTCTTTTATGTCAGGATAAGCTGGACAGTTTGCCTGCCATCATGAGCACGCGAGGGTGTATTAGTTCCCAGTTTGAATTCCAGCCCTGTGCTACTAATCGAGTGCGTTGGGAAAAAATCATGAGACACAAGCAGGAGGAATACACAAACCCGTTGTCTCGTGCAGCAGCAGCACCATTTACGCCTTTTCTGTCAAACACACTCGCTGTTCTGCATAGAATACGGAAAAGTCGCTCAGTACGTTTCGCCATCCAAGGTAAACTAACCTACAGCAGTCTACACATGTCGGCGTTCCCCACATAAATCCAAACAACCCCCGTAGCTTATTAGTACATAAACCCAATTGACTCCGATAAAGGCTGCTTTGGGAATATCGCCTCAATCTCACGCAAGACAAAACCACGCACCTCTTCCGAATAGTTTCATCTCCACCCCTCATTTTTCGCCTCTGTAATAAAAGACTTTTAAATTCTTGGAATCAACATATATATATTTATTTAAAGCAAAAAAAAAAAAAGCCGCAATGTCTACTGCTGCTGCTTCTGTACCGCCACCCGTACAACCTCACCCACAGGGCGCCGTCTTGGCTCCTTTACCACGCATAACCATCCAGTTCTGCACGCAGTGTAAATGGATGCTGCGAGCTGCATACGTACGTTTTTTTATACTTGTTTTCTCTTTATATATATTACTGCACCCCGCTCTTCCCTCTCCCTCCACGCAGTTTTTTGATATACACACGCACCTTGTCTTATAATGGGGGACTTGTTGCTGAGAAATCACAACTCAATCCCATGAATTTCCCCCGCCTGTCCTCCTCAGCCACCTCATCCAAACATATATATAACGCAAACAAAAAAAAAAGCAAGATCAATACACTAACCTACATAAAAAAAGTACGCCCAAGAGCTCCTCTCCACATTCTCCCTCTCCCTCGGCGAAGTCGCCCTCCAGCCCTCCACCGGCGGAACCTTCATCGTCACAATCCACACACCAGCAACAACTGCTTCTTCTTCTTCTTCTTCTCCTTCAGAACCCCCGTCAATCCAATCCACCATTCTCTGGAATCGCAAAACAGACCAAGGCTTCCCCGAGACCAAAGAGCTCAAGCGCCGCGTTAGAGACGTCATTGAGCCGGGAAGGGATTTGGGCCACGTTGATCGGAACCATCGTCGGCCTGCTGCTGATGCTGCTGCTGCTGCTACGGAGACCAAGGCAGTAGCAGAAGGAGACGCAAAAAAGGAAGAAACAGAACCTGAGAAGAAGCAAGATTCAGCAGCTTCGGGAGCTGGTATTGTATGCGAAGATTGTAATTAGGGGCTCTTAAATAAGGCAGTGTTATGAAAGCAAAGTGAAGCTATACATGTCTATAAAAAATCTGTATACCTTCAAGCGAAACGTAAAA